ACCCGGATCCGGGTCTTCATTTTCTAGACCCGACGGATCCGGGTCGGATCTGGATCCTACATACAAAAACGGATCTGGATCCGGGTCCATCCGGACCCGCTTTAGATCCGACCCGTTGCCATCCCTAATCACAAGTAGAGCTATTAGAAGTTGACCTGATCCGAAATACTGACCTGAACCCGATAATTAACCGACCCGTTTGAACCCGGAAAAATGGTGACTCAAACCCGATCTGAACTGACCTGAAAAACCAACCCTAGACTCGAGTTAACCGGGATATTTGAGACCCGAACTAGAACATCAGAACATGAACCGGCTTGGAAATAACCGAACTCGAATATAATTCGTAAATTATTGACCTGAACCGAAACTAACCCAAACCCGTTTTAACCCATTAAAACCCGAATTTAACCCTAGCTACCTTTTACTAACCCGATCCGAATTTAACCCGGCCTATTATTAAACCGACCCGAATTCAACTCGTCCTACTATTAATCCGACCCAAATTTAACCCGACTTGTTATTAAACTGACCCGGATTTCACTCGACCTATTATTAACCTGACTGAATTTTACCCGACCTATTGCTAACCCGACCCGAAATTCAACCCAATCTGTTACTAATTTGACTCGAAATCAACTCGATTTGTTGTAGACCCAAACCAAATTCAACCAATTGTTCCTGGCCCATTTTGAACTCAACCTAACCTGTTATTGGCCTGACCCGATTTCAAATCACTATAAATTCAATTTAGACCACCTTATTAATATTGATCAAAGTATAGTTATATAGTTACGTTGTCACTTATTATGTATATCTTATCTAAACTTATTTGAATTAATTAGCTCGAATTTAAACTTATATGAAATTATTTCTCTTACAATAAATGAAGAAATTGATAATGATTAAACGTGAATGTCATTACATGAACTATTAACAAATCAACCCGAAAAATGTATCCGAACCCGATATGACCCAACCTAAAATCAACCAGAGACCCTGATTAACCCAATATTTGAGACTCTAACCAGAACATGACCCGACTAGAAAAGGACCCGAAGTGATTGTAAGCCGCAAATTATTGACTTGAATCGAACTCAACTTGAACCTGAGAATGACTCGACTTGATTATAACCCTCAAATTATTGACTTGAATTAAAACCGACTCAAACCGGAAAATGACCTGTTTTGATTATAACCCGCAAATTATCGACTTCAACCGAACCCGACTCAAACCTGAGAATGGACCTAACCCGTTTTAACTTGTGAAAACCCAAATTAAACCCGACCTATTATTCACCCGACCCAAATGTAACCTGACCTGTTATTAACCCGGCCTAAACCCGATAAGATGTATAACCCGACTCAAACATGACCCAACCCAAACCCGACCCGTATAGCTTACGACATTAATCTTAATTGACTCGACCAGAGTTGAACCTACCCACACTTACCCGACCCGAACCTGACTTATTTACCCGAATTGACAACTCTAAATTCACAGGTGGGGAGATGAGAAGTTGAACTTAGGTCACTCACCGGGGAGATGGAATCATCCCTCTACTCCTCATTCCTCATTGAAGCTAGCTAAAAGTTGATGGGGCTTTGGGGTTAAAATGTAAGTACCACGAAAGAATCCTAAATGTGAGACCAAGCAAAGGATATATGTCACCGCTATAGGATGATACTTAACTAAAAAATTGGTAAAAAGGGAAAGTAGTTTCTCTTTTGTGTTATTCTACGAAACTTCAAAAATAAGCATCTTTTCATTTGTTACCTAAAGAATCCACAAACGTTGTGGTGCATGATGATTGCGTAATAAATTTGTCACTATTTTTACGTTTGTAATTATAATCAATAATTATTTGTTGGTTTGTTAGTTAATTGATTAGATTTGTACAATTATATGATTTTATTTGTTGGTTTGTTAGTTAATTGATTAGATTTGTACAATTATATGATTACAAGCTTCCCATTCTCCTTAGTCCTTCCGACAATTGAACTAACTTTATGTAAGTTGCGCCGCTATCAATGGACGTGTTGTGAAATATCAACGCATTGCTTGAATCCTTGATTAGGTGTAATGTATATTTGTATGTTTGACTCCCTTCATCTCGGAAAAAGATGAATCAATAATTAAAGAGATTAAAGTTTTATTCCATTTAAACTTATAAAGTAAGTAATACGTTTAAAAGAAAATAAAAGAAATGTTTAATTTTATCAAAAGCAAATCATATCATATCAGATAATAAGTTATTAGTAATTTAAACTTTTCATTTTCGAGTTTTTGTTAACTTATTACTTGTAATATACATCGAAACAAGGTCTTAATTACTTGATGTATTTTTTTTTTCTATATAATAGTGTGAAAATATGATCAAATTTTTGTGAAAAAATGATAAAAATTCAGTCAAATTGGTACATCGGATCAAAGTAGACCATTCCTTACTATAATTATATAAGAACAACTAGACCTATCAATTCATGATCCGACCCGATTTGACCCAATTCCAAACCCATTTTATTGAGAGAGAACCCAAACCTGACCGACCCAAATGACCCGAAATAGACCCGATTTGACCCAATGATCATAGTTTGTACTGATTCAAGCAATCCAAACCACCCTAACCAACTGACCCAAAACCCGAAATCGGACTCGAACCCGACCTGTTGACCCGAATTGATAGGTCTAAGAACAACCCTTTTAAATGAAGAGAACAAGTTGATGTAGTGATGCCTGCTTTAATAACATTTACCATTTGGTTGAGAAGAGTTTTAATTCAATATCATGCTACCCTTAAAGTTAGGGTTAGAGTTTCGTAGATTTGCGATCGATTTCGAATTTCTCTGTTCTGGTTTTCTTCTTTGATTTTTGGTGCTCTGATTTTGGCTTTGTAAGTCTTCGTTCTCCTTAGTTCTTTGTTGAAGCTAGTACGTTTGTGTTCTAGTTTAAGTTTCTGCTCTTGGATGTATACCCATTTAATTTGGTTTTGTTGGATTGTTTTCTCCTTGTTATGTGTCCTTGTTTAGTTTCTGGTTGGATGGCCATGGTGGGCTTGTCCAATCTTGAAGAGGTAAGGGAAGTAATTTTGGGTTAGACTCTAGGTATTGGGTGGTGAGAGGAACATATGCCTTTTCCCTTGCCTTTGTTTCATGTTTGGGATTTGGAGAAGTTAGTCTCCTTGCTGTAGTCAGTTTTGGCTTATACTTCCTTGGTAGTGGGTTGCCTAGAAGAACAAGTTGGATGAAAGTCATTTGTTAATGACTCTTCATCTGTTAGGCTGCGAGGATACGACTTAAACGTTTGGTGTTTAGTTTCGTCGTTAGTTGGCTCTAATTTTATAATTGGAGTTCTTTAAGTTTTTCCAGGTTTGTGATGAGTTTTGTACTCATTACATTCAAAATTTGAAATCTGTGCATTGCTCCCATATTATTTGGGGTTCATAGTATGCTACCAATCATGAATTTCTTTCCTTTAAAAGAGAGAAATCAAGCTACTTGTTACCGTGATATTATCTTCCTACATTTCTTGCTATGGTTTTGTTTTTTCAAGCTCCATAGATTACAAAGAGTTTCTACCGTGATCAATTACCCAAGCTTCTCCCTTGGTGGAAAAAGGACAGCGGGAATAACATGTAATGTAGGCTTCGACTCGCTAGAATCCAGGCGAGGCTACCTACACTTTGGTTCCAACACTTATGGGATAACTATGAAAGCAGCTTCTTTTAAGTTGCTTTGTTTTCTAACATTCATAAGAGCAAGTGTTGCTTGTAACTTTGTTGTAAAGGTCTTAATTGACCTAGTTCTTATTGTTTTAGCATGAACTATTTCAATGTATGTAAATTAATCCTTTGTCAAAAAAATTAATAAATTATATAAAAAGTCCCTTTAATTTGATAAGGTATTTGGAATTATGGGTATCGATTTCTTTAATTAGTAAACAAATTAAATAAAAATAATGATTCGTATTAATAAGAAAAAAAATAATAACGTAAAATCTTGTTGTAGATTCTTAGATATTTTCAAAATATTAATATTTTATCGTTTTTTACTGAAAATTAGAGATATTACCAATTTGATTTATACGTTAATAAACGTGATGAAAGAGTTATATCACCTAATTTAAAACGGAGTAGGAATTATTGTGAACTCCCACTCTAATTATATGTGTCTGAGTGTCTCCACTCCATTAGGATAAAATCAAAATAGTCATCGCTTTATTTGACTAAAATGGAGTGAAATACTTCTATCAAGTATCAAGCTATTATCAACCGAACTCTAGCAAGTGTTTCTCCTTTTGAGAAACAAAAATTGGGCCACAAAGGGGTGGTGTAGTTCCATAATGTCCAATAGCCCAAATTTTTTCCAAATTACACGTTTGTCCCACCTTGGAAGAAATTTGATTTGCTAGTTGGGTCTTTGTTTTAAAGAAGAAGTTTCAGTTTCAATTTAACCAGTACAACATATGTCAACCCAAAATTTTTACGAGTATCTTTAATTAGTTAACAATAAATATTGACTATTTTTTATTAATAAAATCATTTTACTTCCTGTCCAAAAAAAAAAAAAAATCTCTTCATCAAAAAAATAATCTCCATCTCTTCGTTATTTTTTATAAACTTTGTAATGATATCTTTATAACTTATCTATCGACAAAGATTATTTTTTCGACCAATAGATGCAATTTTCATAATCATTCATTTGAAATCGTTTAAACTTTTTATTCTTACTTGTGAGATACTTTAGTGAAGATAAGAATTGTGCATATAGTCAAGCTAGGGACAAAATTCATATGTAGCCTTTCATTTAGAGATAAATTGTCTATAATAAGTCAAAATGCTTAAATTGGACACTATATGCAATATTACAAGAAATGTAAGATAAATATTTTCTTCATACACTATTTTAATAAGTGCTTCTAAATATGATTAATTAATAACCCCAAAATAACTTATATTTAACCAAACACGTGGTAGATGATGAATACTAAGGAAAAAAAATACATATGTTCCCACCTTTATTAATAACCAATCATTATACATTCTATAACAGAATTTAATTATAACCCTTTTCATATTATTTTTTTACCAAAATCAAGTTGAAATTCTTACAAGAAATTTCTCTCACATTTCTATTAGTAAAAGGCTATCAAGAGGATAAAACTACAACGATACAAAGAGAGAAAATATGGCATCCACGGAAGTGATTGTTGTAACTCCCCTTTCACCCACAAAAAAGAACAGAATTCAAGTATCAAATACCAAAAAACCTTTGTTTTTTTATGTTAATCTTGCAAAGGTTGAATATTTTGTTCTAGTTACAACATTTTTATATTAATTATGTCATATTTTGTATTTACCTTGTAATGATAATTACTTAATTAGTGTTTATGTGTTTGTTGTGCCTTATTGGTGTAGAGATACATACAACAACATAATGAGGTCGAGCTTTCTGCATTGGGCATGGGTACGTTCTTGTGAACATATAAATTCTTTATAATTCCTTTTATTATCCTCCAATTGGAAAATAAAAAGGGAAATGATTCAAACTTTCTTACTATATTAGCACTTATAGTTACACTATTTGTTTGGCGTTGTTCTGGTTGTCTTTTTTTTTTTGTTTTTTGTTTTTCAAAATAATATGATATATGTCATATGACAAATTAGGGAGAAGAGATAATGAATAGCTTTTGTATTGCTTAATTATTATTCATCAATAGGTTGAGTATTTATACAAAACCTATGCTCATAAGATAGGAAACAATCTTCCCAAAAGATATACTATATATCCTAATGATATATTCACTAAATAATATCTTAACATAAAATAAACCTAAATATATTATTCCTTTAATGATATCTATGGAAAATATATCACACATCTATTTTCCGATAACACATATCTCTAACATCATATAATGAATCGAAAATTAGTTAAACTTGTTAAAGTCATAATAATTTTGAAAACTGACAACAAAAAAGTGGAAACTCAATGCTTGTTTGGCATTATTTTTTGTTTTTAGTTTTCTGTTTTTTTGAAAACCAAAAACCAAAAACAGGAAATAAGAATAAGGTTTTTTCACTTTTTTGTTGTCAGCTTTCAAAATTATCATGATTTTGATAAGTTTGACTAATTTTTAAATCATTATATGACATATATCATATGATTTTGCAAAACAAAAAACCAAAAATCACAATGATGCCAAATGAACCCTGTTTTCTTGTTTCTTGTTTTTAATTTTTTGTTTTAAAAATAATAGAAAAGTAGAAAACTAAAAAAAAAAATGCCAAACAAGCTCATTATATTTACTATGTTTCTAATCATGATTCTCAGTCATATATGTTGTTTAATTATATCTCTAACAACTTGATAATTTTATAGTGAATGTATATTTAATTAAGACCACTTTATTATATTTCAATTAACAATAAAATATTCACATTTTGATCTTGTATGTGTATTACAGCAATTACAACGGTTGTCACCATTGCTGAAATTCTAAAGAATAATGGTTTTGCTTGTCAAAAGAGTAATAAGCTTGCTCTACCTCTTCACTTCTATCATTTTAACTTATATTGTTTTTCATTGATTTTTAGTGTATCTTTCATGTACCTATTGTTTTTTTTTTTTCTTTGGAGAATAGAGGTATGTACATCCACTATTGGCATGAAAGATGAAAATAAAGGTCGGATGGTTCAAAAAGCCAAGGTAATTTTTCTTTTGCTTTTTAAAAATATGATAATCAAATGCAACATGTCTTTCATTCACCAACAAAATCAATTTTTATTAGATTAATAAATTATCATTAGCCTTTTCCAAATAATGGAAAAAATGTAAGTACAAAAAAATGTCAAAGATTATTATTATTTTTTTTTTTATAAATGATCAATGATATTGCATTACTTATAAATGTCTAAATGGTTTTCTAGTACAAAAGATGTCAATGATTATTTTTATAAATGACGGATACTATGGTTGTCTTTTACTATAATTTTACCAATGACTTATCTTCGTGTATATGTTTCCAGATCGAAATAGTGTTAGAGAAAACTGAAAAATTCGATTCTTTGATGTCTCCAAGAAGTAAAAACACAGATGACGACACTAAAAATGTAGACAATAATGACACCAACAATACTAACACGGCTCGTGACACTTCAGATGAGAAAATTGAAAAGGAAAAATAGTGTATGAGCATGCATTTCAAGTGCTATTTCAACCATTGCTTCAATTTCTAGCAATTTTTAGCTTACCATTATTCTTACTAAAGGTATAGAAAGAAAATATCCATATTTTAGGGTAATACATGCACATTAGTGACATTACTATGGGAAATGTCACTAATGATTGTTGGTTGCTTCTTTAGTGAAGCTTATATGTATTCATTTATAATAATTTATTTTGCCTTTCACTTCTATTTTTGGAATTGTACAAGTCACTATTGATGACTAATGACGAAACAATGATTGAAATAAAAGCCTTTATTTTTGTATATTCTAATTAAATTTTCTCATTCTTAGTTTACAGATTATTTTCTATATTGAGGGTGTGTTATATGTATTCACCTGGTTTTACTTATATAAACTTATTATCCCTTATTAGAACTTATTTTCATTATAAAATGAACTTGGGTAGCACTAATTAACCCTTATAACAACTTATCTGAACTTATTTTTCATGAACTTATCGTATTTGAACTTATTAACTCTTATCTGAACTTATTTTTCCTGAAATAAGTTAACTTAAGGTGAAACAAAACAGGGAATGAATCTTAATTTGTAATTAACCAAGTCCTATGTGTAATGATTAACAATCAACCATGTTTAAAAGTTTATTGCACATTGCGTTTGTAATCAATGTTCTAGTTGCACAATTAAAAATTACAATCCAAATTCCGATTACTAGCTGAAAAACCATCAAACTTTCACTACTAGAAAACAGTTGAATTCCGACGGAGTTTTTCAGTCAAAAAGACCCCGTTTTCCGTCGGAACCGGTTGTCAAAACGGCTTTTGTAGGAAAAACGACATATTCCGATGGAAATTCTATCGGAAACCGTTTCCCGATGGAATTTCCAGTGGAATTTAAGTCGTCGGACAAGATGTCTCCCTGTCGGAAATTCACGACAGACATTTATCCGCCGGAAAGTTTCGACAAGAATTCCGTCGGAAAAGTCATTTAAAAAAAAAAAAAAAACCCAGCCCGACCCCTAACTTGTACCTCCTTTCCTCCAAACCCACAACCTACCACCACCGGACCCCCCTCCACAACCCAGATCCACCACCGAAACCCACAACAACCCAAATCCACTACAACCCACAATCATTACAACCCACCACCGCTAAAACCCCTACAATCCACAAGGACCTAGATCCACCATTACAACCCACAGCCCACTAACCGAAACTTCTAACCCAGAACCCACTAACAAAAACCCCTAACCTAGAACCCACTAACCGAAACCCCTATCCCACAAAGACCAACAACCCACCACCACCGGCATCCCTAACCCAAATCCGCACCTACCCGCCACAACCCGAAACCCACCTTATTTCACCACCCCTCACCCCTTCCAACCACCGCAATGTAAGCACACCGCTATGAAAATAAAGAAGAAGAAAAAAAACAAACCAAATTAAAAGATAGAAAAAGAAGACACACCTCACATTCCAACCGAAAAACGTCGAATTTGGATTTTAAAGGTCAAATTTGACCATAAAGACTCTAGAACTAGAGTTTCATGGTCGAATTTGACATGAAAAACCTTAAGTAGATGGTGTTCGAAATGTAAACCTCAAATTTGGCGTTCGTTTATGGTGAAGCGGGGTCGTGGCGACGAGAAATACAAGAAAGAGGAGAGAGAAAGGGCGGTGAAGAGAAGAGTAAAGGAAAGAGAAGAGAAGAGAAGAGGGGAGAAAGAAGGAGAAGGAGAAGAGCAGAGAGAAGGAAAAGAACGGAAATAAAGCATAGGAGAGAGAAAGAGAGGCGAAAATAAGAGAGAAAGGGGGAAGGGCTACAGTTTAGGGTTTGGGAAAAAAGATTTTAATTATTTAATCACATTCCGACGAAAAAATTTCCGAAGGAATATAAATCCATCGGAAAGAACATATATTCTGACGGTATTTATTTACGTCATAAATTTCTGACAGATTAGTTTAGAGGGAAAGTAATGAAGGAGGAGAGAATTGAGTAGGAAACCATAAGAGTGGGCCCTACAAACGACTCAATTGGACGGAAACCATTTATGGGTAGAGCTAGACCAACTTTGCCATCTTATGGGTGGTTTTAAACAAAATTCAAAAAACGGGTAGTTGTTCATAAATCAGCTTATCTTTAACATAGGCCATGTTTGGTGAATAGCTTAAAGTTGAAAGCTGAATTTGATTATGTTAGTTGATTTTGACTAGCTGATTGTATTAACTGATTTGACTAACTTATTTTATTAGCTGATAGTTTAAAGGTGATTGAGTATGTGAAATGACCAACTTAATTGTGGGAGTAGGTAGTTTAGGTAGGATTTTAAATTAAATGAGGGTATAAGTGTCATTTCACCAAAATTAATAAATAAGCTAATTAAGGAGCTTTTTCAAAAAGAGCTTATTTAGTGAAATAAGCTCTTCAAATAAGTTTCCCATCAAACATCTTAAATTAGCTTATTTAATAGTCAATAAGCTATTATTAGTCAAATAAGCTGCTTACCAAACACTGCCATAATTTAAAACCAGCACAAAATCTATATTATAATTGTAGAGTCATTTAACGAGAGCCCTCCAAATCCCAAATCCTCAACTCTCATGCATTTGAGATTTTTTTATTTTTTTTAATAAAGGAAAAAATAACTACCAATCCCACTACTTTATTTTATTTTTTTATCATTAAAGAAAAAAACAATAACTACTCATTCACCCTTTCTTTTTTGTTTTTCTTTTTGTTTCTTATTTTTTTTTATTTTTTTATGGGACTACTACTAACATGTCACTTTATGTGTGTCAGTGTGTGTGTGTTTTTTTTGGTACGTAGTATAACATATAAAAAAAAAGTACTCTAAACCCCCGACCCTTCAATTACAGTACTCTAAATCCCCAACCCTTTAATTATATGCATTTTTTTAGGGACTACCCTCCAAACATTTTCCATTTCTTTAATCATCAAAATCAAAAGGAAAATGTACGACACGTTTTTGTGCAACTGGCCTCAGCGAATAACTACTTGCAACAGAACAAAGTATGTAACTCCTACAGCAAGACGCTAACCCATATGACACTAACTGAGTAACACGAGTAACCCCTATAACACTGAATGAGTAACCTTTATAACTTTGAAAAGTAAACCCCATAATAGCATTGTGTGGCTACCGACGTAAAAGAGTAAGACCCTGTTTTTTGAGCTTCTAAGCTTTGCTTAGAATATCATATTTCAATATAGCACATCAGGTGTCAGCACATTATTAATACGATTATTATTAATACTCAGTACAACAGAGCTAATTAGGGTTCAACAGAAACGACCAATCCAAAACCAACCATTACAGCTCAAGTCTAAATTACAACATCAAAATCAACTATCCACATTTTAAATATATTTATTCTTTAATAATATTTTTTTTTCTTATATATCCCATGCTTAGAATATCATATTTCAATATAGCACATCAGGTGTCAGCACATTATTAATACGATTATTATTAATACTCAGTACAACAGAGCTAATTAGGGTTCAACAGAACCGACCAATCCAAAACCAACCATTACAGCTCAAGTCTAAATTACAACATCAAAATCAACTATCCACATTTTAAATATATTTATTCTTTAATAATATTTTTTTTTCTTATATATCCCATGCTTAGAATATCATATTTCAATATAGCACATCAGGTGTCAGCACATTATTAATACGATTATTATTAATACTCAGTACAACAGAGCTAAATAGGGTTCAACAGAACCGACCAATCCAAAACCAACCATTACAACTCAAGTCTAAATTACAACATCGGGTACACTCTAGTTACAAGTAAAATGAAGAGTTTTCCCCGGGCTTAACCTAGGCTGCATATATATAATGAACAGCCCTCGCCCGTGACAAGCCGCTATACGATACACTCACAAACAACGTTATCTCTTCTTCGTCTTCTTGAATCTTCCTCACTCTCTTTTCTTCTTTCAAATCTCTCTCCTCCATCAAAGCAGCTTTAAGGTTAGATTTCGTTTTTAATCTTCATATATCAATTTTACAACCTAGGGTTTATCGTTACTTTTATTCAATTAGGGTTAGGGTTCTTCTGCTGTGAATTGAAAGATTATAACGATGCTAGTCTAATCAATCTAGGGTTCTACTAATGTGAACTATTGAACTATTGGTTACAGTTACTGAATGATTTTAATGAGAAGTTTCACTATCTAGTGTTAATCGTTGATTTTATTCAATTTAGGGTTTTGCTTGAATTTCGTTGCTAATCAATTTAGGGTTTTATTTATTTTTTACTTTATTGAATTGATGTGGTTTTTAGTCAATTGTTATATTGATTTCTTGTTTGTAATGTTGGTTCTAGTTTTGTAAGAATGGCAGAAGCAGAGCAAAACTTTGTCGAAAACAACGAAGAGCAGAATTTTGCGGTGCAAGAATCTGAATTGCATCATGTTGGTGTTGATGAGTTTGAACAGCAAATTATTGCTGGGAATGTGACTGAAGAGTATAATTTTGGTGGAAATGAGCCTGAGAATCAAAGCTTGGCTATGAACGAGCAAAGTTTCGCTGCGAACGAGCCCGAAAACAATTTTGTTGAGCAAGAATATGCTGAAAATGAAAATGAAAATGAGAATGAGAATGAGCATACATTAGAGGGAGAGCAGGCTATTCATGAGTTGGGTGAGGATCAGTTGAAAGAAGAATTCCCTGATAATGAAGTTGATGAGATGAGTGATGCTCCGGTTGATTTGAGTTTTGAGAAAAAGGACGAACATGAGGAAAATAATGTGGCGGCAGGTGCAGGAGTAGAGAAGAAATGGCCTGGGTGGCCTGGAGAGAGTGTTTTCAGGATGTTGGTACCCGCCCAAAAGGTTGGCAATATCATTGGACGCAAAGGAGAATATATTAAGAAAATCGTTGAGGAGACCAGGGCGCGTATCAAGATTTTGGACGGTCCTCCAGGATCGCAGGAGAGAGCTGTAAGTTTTTACATCTTTCTCTAATTGTTGAACCAACTATTTACTTGCTCTCTGGTCAGTCATTTGCGTGGTTGGCCTTGATGCAAGGTTGATTACCGGCTTTATTGTCTATATCCCTCTTCGTATATTAATATGAGAACTGTTAGGTCTAACAGTATTGATTTATGCCATTTTATGTGTATGATCTCTAAACTGGATAAAGCATATAAGATGGAATGTGGCATTGACATTGTTCAAGATTATATAGTGTTTGGGTGTTGGCCGCAGTATTGAAATTGCTTGTTAATGCACCCACTACTCACTAGCTACTATTCAAATGATTGTAGTAGGCGCTACAAAATCCATAAACCATATGATAAGATACTCTCTCTTCACTATGACCTACTTATTCTTAGCGTTTGTTGGTTGATTGCATAAGAAACAATAACAATCATATATAGCTGACTAAAATTATTTTACATCAATTTACTAACAAAAATGCGCTGTGCGCTTGGTTTAATTTAATTATGGAAAGATGTCTCAAGTAATTTGCCAAAGTACAACAGTTAAAGATTTTAAAGCTTATTATTGGAGAAAAAGGCTGTTATAAGACATTTATTGGGTTCCATATTTGGAAGCTTACCTCAGATATTAAGATTTTAAGCACCTGAATAACCAGATTTATGATGTTGGAATCACCGGATCATGCTAAGAGGTTCATAAAAAAAATTGAAGATGGAATCAAGAAGCCTATCTCAATGAAAAATGAGCAATGTAATGCAAATATGTAAGAATAAAGTGGAATCACAATAATCAACACATAAAATGTGAAAAAAGTTGATGTTTTGCAATAACAAAAATGAATATGTGCAGGTTCTGTTGGCAATTATATAAGGCTACGATACCAATGCCATCCCAAACATGAAGCATCAAAGGTCCAGATTGCAGAGATCAGCATGAGCATTACAAGTGCTGAAAAAAGTTTTTATTTGGCTAAAAAGAGTTGTACTTTGTAAGAAGCTCTGCACTGTTTTCTGGAAATCAGTGCCCCGGATGGCTGATGTCATGTCAAGCATTATACATCTCTGTTGAAGAACTCCCTCTATCATGTTTATGATCAATGACCAAGTCAGAGGTGCTTTTTGAGCTTCTTTCACCCATTGTTAAACCAAGTTTAATTAAAAGAATAAGAAGTAAAAACTGAAAGAACCCCCACTAGAATCAAGATGCCTAAACTAGTTATGACAAATGTCTGGAAAATATACTAATTTAAGTTTACAACTGCCAGTTGCCAGAGTGATTGGTGTTATAAAAAATAATTAAAGGAATAAACATAATGCATGATTTTAAAGCTAGGCTAGTAAATAATGTAGCTGGCTGATCATCGACAAGCAAACTTATAATTAAACAATTATTTCATTAAATTCTAAATATATAATACCAGAAGTGAATCATATTTCACCCTTTGTGTCTTTTCTTGATATATAATGATCCTGATGAGGATATATTCTTGATTAAATTTTAAATTATTACTTCCTCAATATTTGCAAAAATAGAAGCTTGTATTTTAAGTTCACATGCTTTATTGTATAGGTGTTTATTAAGATTGTCTATTCAATAGGTATTTTAATCTTTTTCATGCCATTGTATAGAAACGGTTTTGTGGTAGACACTCCTATATTTGGTGTTTGAGGTGGTGGTGGTGGGAGAGTAGGTGTGGATTTGTTAATATATATGTTCCATTTGGCAGGGGGGTGTGCCGTGTTGGGGGGTGGCCCTTTTTGTGGGGTAGGTGGACAAGGGCCCGATGAATTCTTTCTTATATGATTACTAATCCCTTTGTTCCCATTTTCCTTGGCGCTTATCAAGTTACATAGTTTACGATGGTAAGTTATTTGGTTATGATGTGATATTGGTTAGTATTGATAAGGTAGATATCAAGGAGATAGTGGGGTACTTTATGTATAGAGCGAGGGAGAGTTTGGGACTCTTGTCTTTTTAGTGGTGTGAAGAGGAATGTATTAAAAAAATATGTTATATCTAAAAAAATTACTTCTCTTAATGACTAATGATGAGCACTGTAATGGTTTGGTATTAAACAATGTTGGTTATTGTTGAAGCTTCTAAAAGATGACTTTTTGTTGATGAGACTAATTCTAGGTTGAACAACATGAACTGTTTAAGACTTGGTATACGAATGGAGAATAATGGACTAGGAGCAAAGATTCATGGATTAACTCATTTCACATGGGTTTTGAAGGGAGATTTAAATTAGAGTAACTCCTGGGTGGAAAGATTATTAAGTGATTAAGCCGATGTTTAGGTGTTTGAGATCACTTGCATGCTTCATGTGGTGCATTAAGTTTCAAGTGTGCTTGCCTTTATATGTATTGAACCTGCATGCAAACCTGTGTTTGTGTGTCATGTTCTTGTATTGGGATGTATGCTTCCTTGTACATTCACTTCTGGTGTTTGGTGTATTACATATTTCGTAGATTATATGCTTATGACTTGGGCATTTAATGCTTAAAACTTGTTGCTGGATTTAGTAAACAGCAAATGTTGCTTTCACTTATGATCATATCCTTAAAAATGCTGAATTGGTTCTTGTTTATGTGATTCTGCTGCTTTGGAAAACTTGTAACAATGATGTGGGCTCTAATTGTGTGACTGTTTTGTAGCACTGTTGGGGCACCAATGAACTAACGCATGCTTGGCTTATATTTCACTGTATGTAGCTGTATAAATCAACACTGACATATTTAAACAGCTTAAATTGCTTTCTGGGCACTGCATGGTAGCAGTTGGCTGAATTTTATTGAAAGTTTTGGGAAAACTTGTTGAGCTGTCTGAATTATGTAGAGTGATGTAGAGGGATACGAGTATATCACAAACTAGATTGTTGCAGTAATTCTCATCTCAGCTATGCTAAAATTTGAGAAGTTACCTAACTAAAAACTTGTAGACCAACTGACCAAGCTATTATTTTATTTTTTCAAGCTGAGATATTCTGCCATATATTACTTTTGTGTTTCAAATGCTAGATTCATTCATTGTGATGTGAGTAGTTTGCTTTGACTTTTGATAATACTATTGATTGTATAACCATACTTGATTAAATATGTATTTTACATTTTCATGAAACTGATAAGTAGTGTTATTTTCTATGTTTAGGTTTAGCAAGATGGATTTTATGACGTTACATGGAAGCTCTTAATGTATAAGAATTATGAAAACTCCGTGTGTTGTTAAAAGCTCACTTGCTTGAACTCTTTGGTTGTGTTGGTTTGCCAGAATCTTGATTTAATCTTCTTATTCTGTGGTCATTGAGAGTTTTTGTGGGTTTTTGTTTTTTTTTTTTTTTTTTTTTTTTTTTTTTTTTTTGTGAAAACGTCATATCACTATGTTCTATTGTTATTGTTTTATTTTGATCGTTTGAGTATTCTTATCAATATCTTCTTGTTTCCCCCTTATCCTGTGATATCTTTCCTAAGTTTCCTGGATTCCTGGGAGATGAGATATTCTTTTGATAAAATCAGAATTTCTAAAATGAGTTAAATGTTATTAGCTAGCCTAGGATAAGTGGATACAGAAGTGGGTTGGTGATGTTATGCCATGGCCTGGTGAGGAACTCCTATTGTGGCATTTGTTACTAGATCTAAACATTGCCTTGTGAGGAACTCCTATTGTGGCATTTGTTACTAGATCTGATTTTTTTTATAGGCTATGGAATCGCCTGTAATTTCTACTTTATTCTAGCTCTCTTTTGTTGACCTTTCCCACCTGCCCGTAGGAAAATTTATTCTTGGAAAAACCACTGGATTTTAAATTTGAGTTCCTGAAATGTTGGTGAAAAGGGGTATTTATCCTTTCTTAATGCTTTTATGTTTCTGCTTATAGGTGATGGTTTCAGCTAAGGAGGATCCTGATGCTTCTCTTCCTCCAGCTATGGATGGACTTTTGAGGGTTCATAGACGTATTGTCGATGGACTGGATGCTGATGTTTCTCAGGCTCAGGCTCCTCCTGCAGGAAGCAAGGTTTCAACTAGGTTGCTAGTGCCTGCCACCCAGGCTGGTAGTTTGATTGGAAAGCAGGGAGCCACTGTTAAATCAATTCAGGAAACTGCAAACTGTATTGTTAGGGTTCTTGGACAAGGTACTATATGGCATCAATTCTTAGAAGCTATTCTGTTTAATTTTCTTCAAGGCCTTATCAGTATAAGGGAGGAGTTCCAGTGAAAATTTCTTAAAATGAGAAGGATTAAATCCTCCATTTTTTTTAAGTTAGAATGTGTATATGCTTCCTTCACTCTGCTTTAATTGTAACTGACTAGTTACTTGCACTATTACTTTGTTTGTCCTAAGGTTCTCTCTATCTCTCTCCCTAACTTATGGGCATACTTTATTTTATTTTATTTTTATCTCTCATACTGTTAACGTATGGACATAGTAATTCAGCCAAAAACACTTTGCTCTTTGGTGGTAAAACATGGAGTTTTTTTTTTTAAAAATTTAATTTAATTTTTAATTATTTTTTTTTTTTTTTTATAAAATTTAATTTTTAAATTATCTGATTTACACCTTCTTTATTTTCACTTTTGCAAGTCGTATATTATCCGACTTTGGCCTTTGGCACCTATTTTATCCTCGTCTCATATTCTAACAGGTGTGTATCCCCCACATTGTCTTTTAAGACAATGGAGGAGGTTTTTTTTTTTTTTTTGAAACAAAATGTTTGCACACAACAGTTCAGCCAAAATCATTTGCTCATGAGTGAAAAACTATGCTCATTTAGTAGGAAAAATATGTCTTATATCATCTGATTTACCCTTTTTTTCTCTCTTTTGTGTTATTGTATTTTTTAGTAAGATTTCCTTCCGCAAGTCTTGTAGACTTGTGTTATTTGATTTTTGTCTTTGGGTTTCATTTAAACATTTTATTTTGGCAAACTATGCTAAATCTTACTGTGTATTGCTGCAGAGGACCTTCCTGTTTTTGCTCTTCAAGAAGATCGAGTGGTTGAAGTAGTTGGGGAAGCTGTTGATGTTCACAGGGCAATTGAACTGATTGCAACACACCTGAGGAAGTTTTTGGTTGACCGTAGTATAATTCCTGTTTTTGAAAAGCAGGTAACTACCCATAGATATTGTCATTTTTATCTGTTTATTTCAAATATGTACGTAGTATAACTAACTTGGAATGGGCCTTTCTTCATCCAGATGCAAGCTTCAAGTGCTCCCATGGAGCATATGCCACCTCAGCCTTGGGGTCCCCCTCATGGTCTTCCACCAAGTGGAGGAGGTGGACATGGCGGTTATGGTTCTGGTATGCAATATATGCCACCACCACGTCAACTTGACAATTATTATCCACCAGCAGATATGGCACCCCCTCCGGATAGGCAGCCTCACCAAGGAATATCAGCATATGGAAGAGAGCCTCAAATGGGTGTTCATGGTGCATCTAATGCTCAGTCTACACCATCTATGATCACACAGGTCTGTCATTAAAGAAAGTGATTGTACTGCTTTGTTGTGTTAGATATGAATATGGACTAATGTGTTGGGTATACTCTCACGTCAATGCTAACTATGTATAATGGTTACTTGTTGGAGAACTGCTGAATTGTAGTTTGTGATGCTTAACTGCTTGTGTATAGTTTCTCTAGATTATAATATTCTTTGAGGGGTGTTTGATAGTTATTACTATGTACAAAGTATAGTTTAGTGGCTGTTAAGTGTGGCCGTGAGATTGTCTCTATAAAAGGATTTAGTTAAGAACCCAAAATCTTCCCAGCGTCGCCAATTTATTAGCAGCTACCATATCAATCCTTTCCATGCATGGTGCTGAGAGAATTTTGTGCTCTTTGAAAGCGTAGTTACAATTTGTTTCAAATATTTTCTTTTTCTTGATTATTTTAAAATTGCAACACAAAAAACTTAAACAACACTGGAGTTCCACAATCTTAGAATAATTGACAATGTTTGACCTTTTGCAATATTCATCTACTACTAACCTTTACCATGTGTCAATACTAAAATTACAAACTCTGCTAACAAGTATTAGGGTAACTTCAGAGCCCAATTATAACACTTATCCCCTTCTCCCTCAAATCTGTCGGCCCCACAACCATCCCTTCTCCCTCGGCACCATCTGCATGGAAAACTGCTTTCCCACTCTAACCCCCACTAACTTCGTAAATATACTTACTAATATTTAAACTACCTGTTGTCATTCTTCTTACCCTATTATTCATCCTTTTTGGAACTGATGAGGGAGAAATAGCTCGAGGATGAGAGAAAGCAGAGCAACCCTCTCTCTTGTGCCAACTAAAAATCTAGATATATTCCTTTTTCTTTTCTTCTTCTACACTAGATCACTTCAACATTTGTTGCAAAATGTGCAAAAGAAGGGAATATTTGTCTGTAAGAGAAAGGGGAGAGGAATAAGGTACTGGAAAAGGGATTGGCTATGGGATAAGGTTAAGGATAGAAGAAGGGTTGAGTGCCCTCAGAAAAGGGTCAGCGTAGAGGTGGTCAGAAAAGCCGATTTGGGGTGGGGTTTGGGTGGTTGGGCAGGTGTGAAGCTAGATCCTTGGTGAGATTTAATTAGGGACGGGTGGTTTATTAAGGGTGGAAAAACTTTCTCATTCTTTTGTTTCATGTGCCAAGTTGCCAACAGGTATTGGAAGTTTTTATATAGAGGAAGTAATTTGGTCCTGGTATGGGAAGTTTTTATTATATAGAGGAAGTAGTTTGGTCCTTAAATCTGGATTGCTTAGATTGAGGCTATCAAATCGAACAAGGCACTACATTGAGTGGATGACTTGAGATTGATGTATGCTAATGCTGTTAGAGCTTACTAGAATATACCCAATTAGCAATTACACATTGCTCATTGGGCATGGTTTTAGCCGTCTCCTTTTTTCAGTGCCCATTCTCAGCATGAGTTTCCACAACTTATATACTCTCTTCTCACTTAAAGCAGATCACGCAGCACATGCAGGTCCCTTTATTATATGCAGATGCTGTGATTGGTACCAACGGCTCCACTATAAGCTACATTCGGCGTGCTAGTGGCGCTACTGTCACCATACAAGAAACAAGGGGTGTTCCTGGAGAAATGACAGTTGAGATAAATGGAACTGCATCACAAGTTCAAGCAGCTCAGCAGCTGATACAGGTAATGTTTGTAATGACTTGTTGATGTACAGTCTGTTTGAGTTTGTTGCACTAAAATTATTAGGTCTGTAAAATTATCCAAGGAATATATTTAAAGTTATTTTTAGTTATTTTCTTGTGTCCTTGCTAAAAAAAGTCTACTCCCAGCATTTTTCTTAACTTGAGTGAAAGCTGTTTAACGTCTATGCATGGTTTGCAGAATTTCATGGCAGAGGCAGCGGCAGCCCAAGCACCATCCCAAGCAGGCGGTGCAGCAGACCAGGGTTATAGCCAAGGTTATAATTCGTATGCTGCTCCTGCTTCAGTGTATGGATCTGCACCGTCTAGTGCTGGACATGCAAGCCAACCTGGAGCGTATGGATCAGTGTATGGTGGAAATTATGGCTATTAGATTGGCAAGTCACTTTGTTCATTTAGATTTAGTGTCACCGAATAATTAAATAGGAAAGGCTGTATTACTATTTTAGATTCCAATTATAACTATAAACTGTTTTTGACTGCCCAAGTTACCATGTGTTTGCGACATTAGCTATACTAACTTGTAATTCAGGTTTTTGTGTGAACGTATGGACTCCAATCGTAGTCACCCATTCTATGACAGTTTTATTGGGTTAAAGAAAATTGCTCACAGTGTCTACATCAAGATATATCCTACTGAATATCAAGATTTTAATATCTCAAAAATCTTGCGTAATCATCTTGCGTAATCCCCATCTAATTCATATCTAGTCTTAGGTTAAAACACAATTGACCGGCACAGTAATTAGGAAATACTTCTGCTGTTCTTTTTTACTTGACCTGTTTCTTTTATCACGCTTGCCAAAGTAAAACTTTAGCGATTAATAACTTTATTTCTTCATAAGTAAAAATTATAAAAGTTGTATATTATGATATTACTTATTGAGAAAAATTCAAAAAGATATAACATGAATATTTTTTTCCTTATATATCATTCACAAAAGACGGTCAAAGGAGGAGGGATGAATAATGTAAAAGTCAAAACAGATTAAATAAAAAAGAACAGAGGAAGTAGCAACATCACCGTTTAAGCTGACGCAAAAGTGGTAAGAAACAACTTAAGCTCTAGCTCATTTATGCCAAGATGGACTTGTGATAGTTAAGAACTAATATATCATCTCTTTTCGAAAATTTCGCCAAGGTTCCTAAAAGTATATTACCTAATACTCCCTCCGTTTTTAAATACTTGCTTCACTTTTTTTTTTCGGCCGTTTTTAAATACTTGCTCAATTTCCTTATTTGGAAAGCTTTTACAATATTTAACTAATTTCTCTCACCTAGTGGACCCACCACATATTTTCTCTCTTCTAATCCTCTCCACTACTTTTGCTTTTTACAATTGTTTATTCTTCCACTTGCCCCACTACCTCTATATATTATTGTTTTCTCCAATTTCTTCTAAAACTTTAAAAACGAAGGGAGTAATCTTTATGAATAGCTTACTGAAAATGATTTGTTTAATTTATAAGGAACTAAGGATTGTCGAGATTGGTATAAAAATTTGAACCTTGTTGGAATTTCGGGGGTGTATAGGGTAGATAATAAATGGATGGGAATGAAAATTGATACAAAATGACATTTTCGCCATTAATGAGAAGAATGAAAAAAAAAAGTTAGTAAGGTTATTTTTGTAAAATTGTTATTTAATCTTTATATATTCTCGCCCACTATCCAAACAAGTTATTGTCATATTTTTATGTATTCCCATCAATTAATTCCCAATCTCATTCTAACATTCCAAACATCCCGTTCGGGTATATAGTACTTCATCCGTCCCATAATATGATTATTGTTTTCCTATTCTGGAGACTTAAAAGCCAAAATATTGTTGTTTTATTTTTTAATAGTATGTAAAGACCATTATACCCTCATTTTTTATTTTTATTTTTTTTACTTTATTCATTTAATTTGTACATTACTCTTCAATTTTGCACATCTCTTGTACTTATATCTACTCTCTCTTAACTTTTGTCTGTAATTGTACTTGTCACTTTTATTAATGTACTTCATCCGCTTTCTCTTCCTACTTGTTAAATACCGTGAAAAAACACAAACATAAACTATATATTGGGGTAGAGATGTAGTAAAAGTTTGGTATATTATGATTTTGTCTTGTAGGGTTACTTTACACAGCAGCCAAAGTGTCGGAATTTCGCACCAAAACCTTTTTTTATGGGTGTCTTGTAAAGGTTGTACAATAGGAGGTTTGAAGGCTACATCTATGCTTTTACAAACCATAAACACAGTTTACACAGTCATAACTGCATCTAGGTTAAAAATATGCTTACACCAGAAACAACATTGTTTTGCATGTCAAGAGGCCTAGATGTACTAATCGTGGGAGATGTATAACAAAATGAGATCATGCACTTGGTCTCTCCCTTGTTATAAGGGTGGCCAAAACTATACATCTTCTATCTTCATCTATTCCTATATACTACAAAGTACAGAGTAATTGATAAAGCAGACGTATATCAAGAATACAGTTGCAACATTCAATGATAATTTGCTTAAATCATCAAGGGTAAAAACTTATGCTGTTTCAAAGAGAAGCATAAACACGTTCACAACAGACGATCTTCAGGTTAATCAAGAGGTAAACCCAGTGCATCGCAAATTAAGATCAACAATTCCAATATCCAATTTTGATGGGAACAAGATGAGTTATGAATGGGATATCACAAAGAACCCTTCCTCAAGCCAAATCTATTAGTGTAAATCAGTAAATGTGTAATGGGAGTAACATATCATACATAAAGGTCCATCTAACTCACCCAAGAACCTGGAAAGAATATTCATCGGCTTTTATATCCAAAGCACACAACATCCATAGAAGCCAAGAACTACTATATCAAAGATAGCATGTGTGGCCTCATATTTGGAAGTCTATAAAAAGATCTATCTTTATTGTGAAATTAATATGAATAAGCTCTTCCACAGTAATTGTATTATTCGTTATGAATAGGTATATAGCAGCTAATGCTTTGTTCACATATTTTCCTAATAATAGGAAAGAGACCAATATAGACAAGCTATTCTAACTAACTAGAATGTTGCATAAAAAAAAAATATAAGGCTTACAAGAAACTTGAAGTTTCTATTTAACTAATATATAGAAACACATGATAATCACCTGATTTGCCAATCTTCAGATAAAAATCTATATAGGTGCGGCACAAGTAGTTCTGAAATGACCTGTCTGATTGCAACGACTACAGTGCACAATCCGTTTAACACGGCCACGATCTTCAGCTCGAACTCTTTTTTTCCTAGGTCTTCCAGGAGGGCGAAGAGACTTGGGTGGGTTAATGATAGTCCCATCAGATTTGGTAGCAGGGTTAATAATAGTTTCATCAGATTTGGTAGCAGGGTTAATGATAGCCCCATCAGATCTGGTAGCATCCGAGTCCTCTTCAGACAACTCTTTCCACAATGACTTGTCTGGAATTGGATGTATAGTCTGTGAGTATGCCTTCCGATAAGTTGCAACGGTGAAACAACTTTCTGTAAAGCGATGTACATTCTGTCTGCAGGAAAGTAGCGCAGACACAGCATGGGCACATGGTAGACCATACAGCTGCCATCCCCTGCAAAGACAGCAACGATTTCGAATATCCACAAAATTAGATCCTTCATTTGTTATAACTTCAAACTCTGCCTCATTTGCACGGAGAACTTGGAAAGAGCGGGCATGCTCAATTGCCTCTTCAACACGCCTTTCAGCAGTTGGAACAAGTATCGATGTCCACTGCATGCTGGTTTCACGTCGTTCATTAAACCAAGTCATTAGCTGCCTCCGTATGCACTCCATCATCTGAATGATTGGGAGCCCAGAAGCTTCAAGAAGCCAAATATTTAGAGATTCAACTATATTTGCAGTCAGATGCCCAAATCGTGTCCCCTCAAAATATGCTGTAGCCCATAAGCGGGGTGGAATTCTTCTAATCCAAAATGCAGCATCTTGTGACATCTCCTCTATTTCCAAAACTTTTGCTTCAAATTCAATTATGGTAAGAGCTTGAGCAGCTTCCCATAAAAGGTTGACGAGCATTGTGTTATTAAACTCCTTCCGAAAGCTTTCACTCAAATGACGCATGCAAAATCCATGAAAAGCAGTAGGAAAATTTGCTTCCACTCCATCAACAATACCCTTGTGCCTGTCTGACAAAATGGTAAGCCTTGGCATATTTTCAGTATTAGTCTCAAGCAAATTGTGGAGTTCTGATAGAAACCACATCCAGTTCTCATCATTTTCCTCATCAACTACACCAAATGCCAAAGGAAAGAGAGCACCATCCCCATCAAAACCAGTGGCCAACAACAAAGTTCCCAAGTACTTGCTTTTCAAATAGGTCCTATCAAGTCCAAGAAGTGGTCGACAAGCATTTAGGAAGCCATATATAGATGCGTGGAATGATATAAAGAGCCGCTGGAAGCAGCCATCTTCTGGACTAGCGTAAACAGCAGCAATACTGCCTGGATTTGTGCGTTTAATTTGCTCGCAATATTGTGGCAGAAGCCGATAACCTTCTTCAAAGGATCCACGCATAGCTGCCATGATACGCTCCTTTCCCCGCCAGGCCTGCTTGTATGACAAGGTGATCCCATGTACCCGATGGATCTCTTCTAGTATCTCCTTAGGCTTACAGTTAGGATTCTCTCTCAAACGTTGTTCGACAGAATTAGCCACCCACTGAACTGATGCTTGCTGGTGGCCCAGATGACCTATGCCATTGCAGGTATGGAGCTCATAAAGGGTTCTGATTGTGAAAGTAGGTGCCCCAGGAAGCTTCGCAGCATGCACACGCCAGGGGCATCCTTCAGCTGCACATTTGGCAGTAAAGCGAGTTTTATCAGATTTTATGGTCTGCATTTCAAAGTGTAGAGCAATTGCCATGTCCCTTAAAGCTCTGCGACAACTCTTGACATCTGGGAATTCCTGCCCTACACGGATCTCATGGCTAGGGCTAACAACCAAAGAACGCGCCTGAATAACATGACTAAGTACATATTCTGGCTCCTGAACAACCATGTCATCAATAGCTTCAATTCCCATTTCATGATTTTGATCAATATCTAACTCCAAATCCTCATCAAGGTCTTGATTGCCGGAAACAGTCAGCTCATTGTGCTCTACCATACTTAAATCATTGTTCTGTGAAGAAAATTCATGGCTTTCATTATCAGGTTTATGCTCCATATGCAAGTCATTGCTTTGCTCATAATGATGCCCATCACTCGATTCATGGTCATGGCTCTGTTCCAAAGCCAATTCATCATGGTTGTGGGCATTTTCTAAACCTAGTTCCTGCTCATGCCTTTCTCTCAAACCCAGTTCATGTTCATGACCTAGGGAATGATTATGGGCAAGGACCAACTGCCGGTCATGACCTATATCCATTCCATGATTTTTCCCAAGGACGTCATGATTTGCCATAATTTAATGAAGATTTACAATTTGCAAACTTCACCAATTCAACTATGCAAGCAAGATGCTGAATACTCTCAATAATGTACAGTCATCAGTGGCATCAACAACCTATGAGACAAGAAGAATTAACTAATTAAGCATTCTATAACCAAAGAAGCATACAACATAAAAATCTGATTAAGCATTCTATAACCAAAGAAGCATACAACATAAAAATCTAAAAATAGGCACATAGTCAATCAACTGAAAGAAATCACAACAAACTCCAAGATGCACCCTGAGCGAAAGAAATCACAACAAACTCCAAGATGCACCCTGAGCGAAAGAAATAACAACAAAATCCAAGATGCACCCTGAGTGGAAGAAATCACAACAAACTCTAGCCTCTCTTTTAACCCTCACTTGTAGAAACACAGATTCATAAGCATGCTATGTGTGCGTAGAATTAAATGAAAATCGATATTCAAAAACTCTTATTACATTAGCATTAATAATAATAAAAGTAGGGGTGTTTTAGATCTTTTAAGTAAGAAACAAAACTGCTCAAAGAGTTGGCTTATGAAGTATTATGTCTAAATGCATCCTAAGCATGCTTTACATTTCAAACTTCATACTTTGTATGCAACAACTAATAGTAATTTAACTTCGAAAATCTTAAAATTTTAAAAGGGAACTCTGTATATTAAAAAGTAAAAGGTCTTTTAGATAAATTAGGTGGTCACCAAATTCCTTATAGGATGTAAGATAACAAAGAAAAACTTCCTTTCACCTTACTAATTCACTATGCGAAATAACTCGAACCATAGTCAACATTCCTCGAACTCGACGACAAGGTGAGATCTTTCGATCTCCAAGGTCCTAATTCAGCTACCTCAAAAGAGTAGAGTACTTCCTATTACAGTCTAATTAGTAGTAAAAAATTTTGGCTCTCTGAGAGTGACATGCCAGATAAGTAAATCACTTCTACTTTATATACGATATGCTAATCTGTTAATTAGGCTGAAAATAGACTGAAAAATGCTGAAGTAAATACCAACACATCTTATTATACTACCTCTGTTATAGGTTATGGCAACGATTAGACATTTTCCCTCTCTACTTTATGTCACGTTGCACATAAGCTGTAACGGAGGTAGTAGTTAGTTGCCAATAAAGTTGCAAATATTAACATTCAGCAGAATTAAACCATGATCTATAATTTAATAACAGCAAAAATTAAACTCACAAACTTTAAAGCATATGAATCATATAGTTAAGATACAAAAAAAATAAGAACAAATAAAACACCTCAATGAGCTTCAGTTAGCAAACAAAATTACTCAAAATAACGAAGTGGGGTTTACCCAAAACAAAGAAAATCAAAGAGAAATGCACGAAATTAACAACAGTACCTCTGAATTATAGAACCCTAACCCAAGAATTTGGGTTTTGATCCATCAATTGAGCATAAAAAACAGTGTAAATCATCAAATTCGAACTGGGTATTCCTCAAATCTTGTAAACCCAATTCATGGAACACAGAAAGGGAACAATCTCGAACAAATCGAGGTAAGAAACCCCAAAATCAGAAATTGTGATTGATGGAAGGAGGAGGAAGACGAAAAGGGGGAGAATTAACAGAAATTCGAACGAGGGAGGAGAGAGAAAATTGGCGGGTATAGTGATGAAATCGAAGAGAAGAAAGAAAAGGGTAATGAAGGAATTGATGGAAAAATTGGGGGAATTACAAAGGGGCAAACAACAAAGAGGAGATGAGAAGAAGAGAATGCACAACGTAGCATTAGGGGTGAAACAAATTCGGTTTAAAACCAAACCGAATAAGAAATATGGTTCGGTTTTTTTCCTAAAGTGGTTCGGCTTGGTTTGTTAAAAAAAAAATTCGATTTTCGGTTCGCTTTCGGTCTGAGAAAATTAAAAACCGAAAAACCGAATAAAACTGAAAAAACCGAAATATTAGGCCCAATTTACCCTAAGTATATAAACCCAAAAAAAAACCTAATCTATTTGCGTTTTCCTCTGAAAGTCTGAATCCTCCACGCTCTCAGCCTCTTACCCTAAGTCTCAAACTCTCATACATTCCACCGTCCATTCCACCACCAATCACCGTCCAGGCGTCCAGCATCCACCGTCCATTCCTCCACCGTCCTGCCGTCCAAAGGTAATTTTTCATATTTGCGATTAAGCATTTACTTGGTTCAAATCTGGAAAATGAAAGTTAATTTCTTAAGGTTTTAATTATGAGTAGTGTTAATTACGAAAATGATTATTAAAGATGAGTTTGAATCATGATAAAATTACAATTTACATGTACAATTTAATAAAAAATTCAGATCTGTTCGGCTGTTCCTTCCCTTGAATTCTCTAGTATCTTTGGGTGAATATACACTCGATTGTTGATTGTGAACTTGTGAATTGTGATGTTGTTTGTGAGGCAATGTTCGTTTATGTTTTATTTGCGAAATACTTTGTTACAGTCTACATGCTACACTAGGCCTAAGTAGTTGCAGATTCACTCTGTATTAGTTTCATAGCTATTTACAGTGTACATTTTCAAAGAAATGTAACTGTATTTTCAAAGAAATGGTTAAGACTACATGGATGCATGTGTTGTGAATTGTGATGCTGTTCTTTTGCTGCTGTGTTGTGAACTTTTGCTGCTGTGTTGTGAACTTTTGCTGCTGTGTTGTTGTGAACTTGTGATGTTGTTCTGTTGTGTTGTGATGTTGTTCTGATGCATTGTGTTGTTCAAATGATACTGCAATTGGGTATTTGAGAAGGAAAATAAATGGATGGAAAACTGGGGTTCTTAAGGGTCGTTTCATTCACATGCGTTGTGTTGCGCATATTGTCAATTTGGTTGTTTCTGATGGTTTGAAAATTGTTAATGATTCGGTTCAACGTGTTAGGCATGCTGTTAGGTTTATCAAACAATCTCTTGCTAGGTTGCAAAGGTTTAAAAAATGTGTCTTAGATGAAAAAATCAACACAAAAAAGGGATTGTGCCTTGATGTGCCTACTAGGTGGAACTCCACCTATTTGATGTTGAATGCTGCTATTGAACTTGAGGATGCTTTTGAGAGGTATTCTGAGGAAGACCCCCACTATGTAGTTGATTTGAATGAGAGGGATGGTAAGGGTAGCCCTGATTCTGATGATTGGAATAATGTGAGAAGATTTTTTGAATTTCTACAAGCCTTTTATGATCTGACCTTGCATGTCTCTGGCTCTTTATATGTCACTTCCAATTTGTTTTTTCATGAATTGGTGAGTGTTGCTGTACTTTTGAAAGATTTGGTTTCAAGTGATGATCCGGATATGTGTCTTATGGCTTGTAGAATGAAAGAAAAATATGAAAAGTATTAGGGTGATCCAGAAAAAATAAACCTCTTGATTTTTATTGCCGTTGTCCTTGATCCTCGTTAAAGCTTGATTATGTTCAGTGGATGATAACTGAAATTTATGATCCTATTGTTGCATCAAAGTTGGTTGATAATGTGAAGGTAACTTTGAATGCTTTGTATGAGGAGTATCGTGTTTCTTCATCTAATGATGTGAATAGGGAGGAAGTGTCTTCAAGTAAGGATGACAAAACTCCATTGTCTCCCAAACATAAAAAGATTGAAGTCTTAAAGAGTAAGTATAAGAAACACAAGTGTGAGAAAGATGGAGATGCAAAAATAGAGTTGGATAAATATTTGGAGGAGGATACGACAGCTGATATAGGTGAATTTGATATTTTGAGCTGGTGGAAGTTCAATTGTTCAAGGTTTGCTACCGTGGGGAGAATTGCCCGTGATGTTCTAGCTGTCCCTATTTCGACAGTAGCTTCTGAGAGTGCATTCAGCACTGGTGGCAGAGTTCTAGATCAGTTTAGGAGCTCATTAACTCCCCGAGTTGTAGAAGGTCTTGTGTGTGCTCAAAATTGGTTACGTGCTTCACCATTTCCAAGTATTGAAGAATGTTTAGAGGAAGTTGAGCTGCTTGAAGAAGGTAATATATAAGAATATCTAATCAAAATTTACATATTTTCATTTATGTATATATATATTAACTTGGTTATTTTTGTTATGAATTATGATAGATTTGAAGAATATGGCAATTAGTGATGCTGATATTGATGAAGTGCAAATAATAGACTGATGTGGGCTCTTTGCTAATTTGTTGTTGCCGTGCTAACTTGCTGCTGCCTGCTGCCTTTCCTCTATGCTGCTGCTTGCCGACTTTCCCTCTATGCTGCTGCTGCTGATTTTCCCTCTATGCTGCTGTTGAATCTTATGATGTTGCTGCTGATATTGTTATGCTACTGCTGTAGTTGTAATGTTGAACACTTTTTTTTTTTTTTTGGATGAAGTGTTGAATTCTTAGAAGTTAGAACTTTGAATTAGAACTTTTAATGCTGTATTGTTGTGACTTGTGAATGTTGTGATGTTGAGTTGTTGACAACTTGACATGCATTGCTAATGGGCCTACTGCCCGTCTGCCTTGCTTTATTTACATGTTCAGGTTGCTATTAATCTATTATGCTGTTTAAGCCCTTGCTATTAATGTATTACATGCTCTATTTACATGCTCCTTGTTGTTTAAGGCTTTAAGATATCAAAAATAGCAGAATAAAGCCCAAAAAAACAAGGCCCAAAAACAATTCGGTGTGGTTCGGTTTTTTGTTTTGAAACCGAAATTTATTCGGTTTGGTTTGGTTCGGTTTCTAAAGTAAAGTGGTGTGGTTTGGTTACTAAAATCGCGAAACCGAATTAGAGTGGTTCGGTTTCGGTTTGGGCCATAAACCAAACCGAAAACCGAACTTTCACCCCTACGTAGCAGGGTTGTGTTGGGAATTGCCTAGATGCAGTGTAGGGTTGAGAAAGTGATACAAAGGGTATTTTGGTCCAACACGTTGGATTTTATTCATCTACAAATTTGGATTTACACTATTGCCCCCTAATTTTGGCACAAAAATATAGATGGAACAATTAGTCTTAATAATATCAAGTATAGCCGATTTTTTTGTTTCAAAAAAAAAAAAGTATAGCCGATTTTTAAAAAATATAGATGGAAATATTAGTCTTAATAATATCAAGTATAGCCGATTTTAAAAAATAATCTCAAATTTTGATTCTCTAAACTAATTCCAAATTAAGGGTGCATTTTCATTATTAGTAGGGATGTCAATGGGGCAAGTCGGGGCGGATGTTGGCCTTCCCATCCCCATCCCCGCGGCGGGTCCAATATTCATCCCCATCCCCATCCCCGCCCCGGCGAGTACAACTCTATAACCATCCCGTCCCACCTTCCACTTGGATATCAATCTCCACCTAATCCCCACCAAAGACCCGCCTAATCCCCACCAAGACCCACCTAATCTCCGTCTCTCAAATACACAATCCTACATGATTAATACTTCGTACGCATTATAATAATAAAACACTCTTAATATTATACACATTTTTGTTTATTATATAAGTATAGTGTAAAGTATTATAATCAATATTTTATTTCACGTAATTATTTTATAAAATAGTATAAAAATATATAATTTTGCTTTTAAAAATAGGAAAAATACACTTTAATAATCCCAACTTTGCCCAATTTACTTTGAATAATCCCAACTTTTGAATATTCTGCAACGATCCCAACTTTAATATGTGTTTTCTTTCTTCAATCCCATTTACCGGTAACCTGGAGAATGGGTTAATTTTTTGTTAAAAGAATAAAAAATTGCCACGTGTCACTTGTTTATTGGTTCATAAAAAAATTATTTTTTTTTAAAAAGAAAATTAAAAAAAAAAACAAATCAAACAAAAAAAAAATAAATCAAAGCCCAAGACCCCAAGCCTTCCATGACCACCGTCGGTGGCCACGACCTCCCCAACCCTATTCCCGACCCTAATTTGCGCCCACCACCAACTTCCGCTACCTCCACCCCGATAAACCTAGCCCTGAAACCGTAAGCAGCGCAGCGTTGGGACTTGGGAGCTTGGGACAGATTCGAAGATGGGGAATGAAAAAGGCATGTTTCTGGGTTGAGGGAAGAGACAAGGGAGAAGGTCGGTTATGGTGGTGTGGGGAATTAAGGGGGCTTCGATTTTGGCGGTGTGAGCAACGAGAAGGTTGGTGTTCTGGGTTTAGGGAAGGGAGAAGGGCGGTTGCGAGTTTAGGGAAGGGAGGAATGGCTAGTTTCGGTGGTGTGGGAGGGAGGGGACGTCGGTTTCCGAGGTGGAGTAGGGATGGAGTGGCCGATTTCTGGTGTTATGGTGGTTAGGCGGCGAAAATCGGTGGCTAGGGATTGGGAGGTGGTGGTTCGGGGGGGCTAGGGATTGGGAGGTGGTGGTTCGGGGGGCTAGGGATTGGGAGGTGGTGGTTCGGTGGCTAGGGATTGGCACGTGGCTGGTTGTTTGGGATTTTTTAATTCTTTTTTTTTTGTGTGTAAACCAATCACGTATTGTCACGTGTTGGGTAACCTAGAATAATAGGTTGTTGACCGGTTTGGGATTGAAGAAAGAAAACGCATATGAAAGTTGGGATCATTGCAGAATAATAGAAAGTTGGGATTATTTAAAGTAAATTGGGCAAAGTTGAGATTATTAAAGTGTATTTTTCCTTACAAATATATAGACGTAGGTATGAGGTGGGGACGGGGCGGGGATGGGGCGGGTACAACTTAAAATCCATCCCCGCCCCATCACCCATGGCGGGTATGGTTCTTATCCCCATCCCCGCCTCACCACCCGCCAAACCAAGACCCATCTCCACCCCACTGGGGCGAGGATGGGAGAGACCCGACCCACTGACTTCCCTATTTATTAGGCTCAATTGGTGATCAACTTGTTATAACAAGTTGCATGTACACTTGTCAGCACGTGATTGCTCCAAAAAATTAAAAAATAAAGTCAAATAAGCCCGACCCTCCTAGCCTCGGCCCACCACTGCCAACCACCCATTCCCCAACCCTTCCACCTCCCACATTTTCCACCCCTCCTCCTAGCCGCTACCACCCCCTCTCAACCACCTAGATTACCCACAACCATTCCAAAACCCACTCCGACATTGTCAACCCAAATTCTTTCTTCCCCCCCCCCCCCCTTTTTCTTTGCGGTGGTGGAGGATTTTTGATGGTGTTGGGTTTTTCGACAATGGGGTTCTTTGTTTTGGGGTTTTTCAAAGGGGGTGAGGGTTTCATGAGTGGGGTTTGAAGGATTAATGTATTCGTCAAGTGCAATTACAAGATGTATAAATGGATCAAACTATGGAAATTATAAAGTTCGTACTTTTGGGTCGTCGATATATCATAGCTAGAGGCACGAACAATCTTTAGGATAGTAAAATAGGCCAAAGTCCAATTGGACAGATCCTATAAGGTCACACAAAGGGCCTAGATCAAGCATTAGAGGACGGGGCTGATGATGGGCCTCATCACTCTAGGTGGCTAGCCATAGGAGTAGGTTTGGAAGGTTTCGAGCTTCGTAATCTAGTCTAATTATGATATGATTATAAATAGACTAGGTGTCTAGGTCATTCAACTGAACAATTTTATTGTTAAGTTAAACCCTAATTAGCAAAAACGAAACCAAGCTTCTTAAAATCTCTCTCTCATCACATCTCTCCCCTCTCTCAGCGCTAGTGGTGTGCCTCGTGGTGGTGGTAGTTTGTGCAGTGGTCAGTTGTCCATTCGAGTTGGTGATCATGGTTTTTCTCCTTCACTCGACTAATCTAGTATTGGTG